AATTCCACTTATACTGATGCTTATGCCTTTGACGGTATAAAAATGCCAAAAACCAGTCTGGATTTCAAAGTTGAATGCTGAGCATCCTAACAGTACTTGTGCAGAATCACACAAGGAATTTCAGAGAGCACAGGCACAGAACACAGCAGTTTTTCCAAAGCTAGATTCAACAGGCCACTGAATACAACAAATAGACCAGTAAACTACTGTAAACTCGCATCCTCAAGGCTACTTTCAGCAACTAGGATTACACCATCTCATATATTGGCAAAGATCACATTCTGATGCTGTCAGAGCCTGCAAGAAAAAAACAAACCTTGATTTCGACTGTGTAGAAGATGACAAAAGGGAAGATGGACACAGAAGACTACCTGTAATGTTTTTTGCCTTCACCAGCGTGCTGGATAAAAGTACTGAGTTTTGAAAAGCAAAATGTAATGCTCATATGTCAAGCTGGTAAGTCAGCGCTTTAACTGTACATGCTCCAACATGGGAAACAGATGTTTCAAGTTCTGCGTCTAACATGCTGCACTTAAATAAATTTTAGCATCTACTGCAAATATAAAAGCATGTCTTTAAATGTTTCTGTGAGGAAGAAGAACAAAATTACTGGAAAAATGCAAACTGGACTATGACATTTTGCTATTTCTACAGGAAGGCTGCCTTTCTGGGCTTACCAAAAATGAAACTGCAGAACTCCTGGACAGTGTTACACATGTTATTACAGTGCTGAGTTTAACACTCAAAAGATCTAGGAAAACAAAATGCTTAACTCAGGAGTACTGAAAGGACTTCAGTTCTAAAGTGCTCACAGTTTTGAAAAACAAAGGGGCAAAGGTGTCTGGGTTCCATCAAGTTTCAGTCTCAATATCTGCCACAAGCAGAAAAAAAAAAAAAAAAAAAAAATTAACAAATTTGCAATATTTTGTCTTTCATTTTTTCCCAAATTGTATCACCTAACCATATTCTCCCCTATTTTGAAGATAGTCTTATTTAAGAGAAACTAAAACTAAACTAAAACAAATTGTGTTTGCATGTTAATAAGTGACCTGTGGGTCTGTGTATCATTATCTAGTTAGTTTATATCTGTAATTACAGCTGAGGTTACTTCAGACTTGCACAAAGAGCCTGCAGTGCAGATTTTCACAATTAGCTGCCTGCACTTCCTCTGGCTTATCTACCTACAAAATGAATTTTTGTGACTAACTAAAAGCTGAGCTATTGACATACTTCTTTCAATCATATCTGAGTCCTAAAGAACAGCAGGGTAACAAACTTTTTTCCCCCCAAAGTGGGAATAAAAGTAACCTACTTTTTCCTTCAAACAGAATTTCTATACCTTAATAGCACTTTGAGTAGAACTAAGAGATGTCTTTGAATATAGTTGAATATGTCTTTGAATATATGAAAATTGGGCATTTAATAACAGTAGCAAATGGGTACAACCCCACAGCGAAAAGAGGCAATGAATATATTTCTTTAGGGGAAAATACTCCAAACTAACCACAAACAAATAATTCTTTAAATAGCTATCAGTAAATTAGGAACACTGATGCAGTAAAACAACACAGAGTGGTAAAAATGGATAAAAAGTTGCTACTGATGTAGCTAAGAAGCTTAAGACTTTAAGGCATAAGAAAAAAATACAAATAAACCCATAACAAGTACTAGCAAAGGATAGCAAAATTGTCATCAGGCAAAATAACTCTGTCATGCGCAATACTGTACATTGGGAAACAAGACAACATATTTTATGAATAAAAGTATTTCCCAATGCTCTAAGAGTGGTAGAGATACTTCCTCAACCACTAAGAAATTTTTAGAAATAAATACTTGTGATGACAAGGTCAAGTGATTTGTTCCTAATAATTCTGGAAAAGCTGGGATTGAAGTCTCAAGTGGCTGAAAATTTTACAACACTAATATAGTTCCAGTAAACTATTATTTATTAATTCAAATATAGAAAATAAATTTAAAAACCAACATGGGCCAAAAAGTTTGATATATAGAAGAAACTGTAGAACTCGAGAAATTAACAGACCAAAACAACCCATGTTGACTACCATCAACATAAGATGATAAGGGGTTATGCAGATGAAGACCAAAATGATGATTTTGATTAAGTAATACAAAAGTAAGGCACTATAATATTTATCTACATGGCATGACTTAGGGTGGTTTCAGAATTTTGTTAGAGCAATAAAGAACACATGAAGTGAATTAAAGCTCAGAACAGCACCACACTTTATTTATTGATTTTAAAGAGAACCAGCCAGGACTGTTGCCATATTTAAAAGCACTCACATTTTCAGTTATGTGAAAGTTACTTTAAATACAGCTCCTGATAGCTGTTGGTGGGTGACACTTACTTGGTGGGTGACACAGGCATTAACTGAACTGAGCAGGAGCCAGAACAAGGCCAGAAAGACCAAACAAGACAGACTCACTCAAAAATAGGTTGTATGAGAAAATGAAATGTGAATCATATTGTTAAGGTATAAGTTGGGAACATATTTTAAACAGCACATTAATCTATTCTGCATATATTTTTTATGCAAGTTAAGAAAATGATCCAAAAAATGGCAAGCATGTTCAGCAGCAGTGGCTATCCTCTATGAGTAATTCCAGTTTTGATAACACAGGCACACTTGGGATTTTACTCTTTGGGCAAGTAAATTCATCCAGAGTGCAAGAAACTAATGTCTTATAGAAACAAGCAGCTGTGAATGACAGCATCTCCTTAACAAAACAGCTTGTGCTCACTTATCTATATATACATATGATATAAAAATTGAATATCTAGAGACCACCATCACTCACATCTGTGGCCACCCATAGACAAACTAGTCAAGTATCAGTAAACCAAAAATTCTTCAGTCAACAAGTAGAAGCAGTGTAAGATATGCATCTCTGGTCAAATGCTTTGTTAAATGCTAAATAGAAGCTGTTATAAAATCAAGATTTTTGTGAAGGCAAATAATTTCAAGAGCAAAAACTGTCTCTATTGCTGCACTCAGCAACTTCTATCAACTCCCTCTGTCAAGAGCAAGACACATGGTTTTCACAACACTGATTCTAGTCTCACAAATACATTATTACCTGGGGGTGCCACCTTTGATGCTGTAAAATATCCAGTAGAATTAGACTCTTCTCCAGAGAAATATGATGGGGAGGAGGGGTAAGAAGATACCTAAAGAGATCCCAAAAGGACCTCTTGACAATAAGATGCTACCAGTGCCACTGACTCAATCCTCAAGAAAATCTAGATGAAGCAGCAATATTGTCCTTCATCCAGCAATGCAGAATGCAATGCTAGCACCAAACAGCACCCCAGGTATTGAGTTGCAACTCCTACAGCTCCAGAACAGCCTTGACAACATTTCAAGTGGAATCTCCTGTATCAAAAGCTGCATGAATAAACTGGGAAAGTCTAGAGAGCTGACACAAGAAGAAGGCATCTGGAAGTGGTCAGAAGTAAGTAATTTCTAACAATGCTTATGTTAATTGGTCTACAATTATCCATGGCATCCAGGCATCAACATTCTGTTTCATTCCCATCTGCATTTTGACTTCAAAACTTTATCCAAACACACTTGTTTTCCCATTCACATTAACACAGCATCTACAGCCCCTGCTTCATCCCAAAGAAAGTCTCTTTTGACATCTCTCACTCTGACAGTCTTCCCGTTCTGCATTTGAAGATCTGCACTCCTCTTCTGTGACCACAAATGCTTAATTCTTCAGGGATGGCAGGGAGAAACAATCACCTTCTTCCTCCAAAGTGAACTTAGAGGGGAAGGCTTGTGACATGCCAGTTGTTGTAAACTTTTGTAGGCTTTCAAAAGTTTTCCTTATTGCACACAATTCCTATGTTATCTGATTGTTGCAGAGTTCAGAATGAAGATTTAATAACCTGGCCTTCTACACAAAGTCTGAGGACAACACTTGCCAGGTGATGGTTTTTAACAACAAAAGTCTTTGAGGCCAGTGCCTCCAAGATTTTTGACTCCAAGACAGGATGATTCAAACAGGTCCTTTTGCTCTTTTCTCTTGTGAGCAATGTCCTTTTGTACCATGGATCTATTGTTATATTATTGTCTCAACACCCTTAAAGAAACTCACAGACCTGGGTTCAAGCAGACAACAATTCTCAGTTACTACTTACAAAGTGGCCTTTGGCTTAAATTGGAAATGGAAGAGAAGTTACACAAAGGAAATTATGGTTTCACAAGTTCTTTCAAAATCAGAATTAGGAAGATACATAAACCTATCAAGAGTAATTAGTGATCACAGGCCTGAGGGTTCACTGTAAATATGGAAGAGTTATCTACTGACTAATGGAAAGATTTACTGAAAGAATAAAAAATGAATGAAAAAGACATTAATAAAAATGCAGCAAAAGAGTGAAAGTATCAAATGTTGCCTTTATTATACCCTATAGACAAGTGTTTTAACTGTCTTCACATTAATATCAACTTAAATTAATTTGCACTGTATCAGTCCTCTGTTTCCAATGGAAGTAGACATTTCACTGCGCTTTACTGTTTGAAATATTACAGGCTAACAATGAATACATGAAACTATTCTTAACCTCATTAAAACAGTCACAGTTTAAAATGCAAACCAAATAGCACAAAATTCAGTTACATAACTTTCCTAAAATTCCACCATATCCTTCCTCCAAAAGTCTAAATACCCACTGGAGCAAGCAGAACTGGCTTGTTATGTGAAGGCATGTTAAAAACCCCCAAAACAACCAACCAACCAAAAAAAAAAAAATATTCCACACCCATCAACTCCAACACCTCTTGCTGTATTTGTGGTTCCCTGGCCTCCTCAGAGGGGAAAGTAACTGCTATGTAAAAGGTCTTGGAGACACTCCTGCAGACTACAAGGTTCTTTGTAGGCAGACAACCACACTAACTTGATTTCACGATATTTTCTTCAGTCTAAATTTAAAATGACACATCTATTTTTATGCAGAATTATAACATACTTACTCTGCCATCACACGCCTGACGTTATTGGCATATAACACTGGATTTTTTCTTTCTTCTTCTGAAGGAATATACACAGGTAGAAACTGCATACAGAGAACTGAATTATACCAAAAATATTTAACATTTTAAACAATCTCCTACAGCACTATGGTGAAAATTGTATACAGTTGTTACTCAAAAAATTATATTAAGACTACAGAAAATATTAAAAATTAAACTTTTAAAGCTTAAGTATATGTCATACTTCTAGAAATTCATGTAACACTGACTCTGCTCATTTCTCACCGCATGGAACCCAAACAGAGTTTTATCTTCATTTCCTAAGTGGGACTCAGAATTTTTAAATACTTTAGAAGTATTAGCATTTTTTTTGCATAAACCTCACTTACCTTCTGTATTGTTCAGCTCTTTTCAGATAACCAAAAAAGCACATGTTACAGGAATATTGTTTTATAACTCAAAAATTAAGAATCCAAACTGTAAGAACATCAGATATTTACTGTTACCCCTGCATATTTTGAAATTATGTACGACTGCCTAATATACACACAAAAAATGTTTTTATTTATTGTTGTTGGATGTTTTGAATTTTTGTTTTCCTTCTAATGGGACATCAGCCATTAACACTCCAATGAAAATAAAAATCTAAATGTATCCAGATGACCAGACAATCACAGAACAATTGATGTTGGAAAGTGGAAAATTAAACCAGAACTGCTGGAGACCCACTACAGAAAGGGCAGCTTTGAGAACGGCATGGCCTACATTAAAATATCTTCCAGTATTTAAAGCTGTTTCTAAGTGTCCATTGAAAAATTACATAAGCCCCAAGATCATGGCCAGTCTCATCAATAAAAACCTTCAAAACATTTCCTTCTGCCAAGTGAGTAACTTCTCAGATGGGAGGAACCAGAGAGGATCACTCTGATCACCACTCCTACTCAGTACCAGACAGACAACTCTCTAAGCAGTGCAGCACAGTGAGATAATTTATGCCCTAAGTGAGCAAAATTCTCACAATCCTGTGTAAAGCTTCTGTATTAGGAAAAAAAAGCTGCAAGAACCTTAGTTGCAGTACATATAGGTGTAGTGAAAATGGCAATTCTGACCCAGAAATTTCACACTGATCTTTAAAACAGAAACTAACAACTGGGTAAAGTTGTCAGCCTCTATTTTAAAGTTTATAATTTCAGCAAACACTTCTCAATCATCATGAACCTAGCTGTGTTTTTAAAATAACATATCTGTATGGCCAACAGTACCCAAACACTGCCATTGGACATTCATCTGTTTCCAGTAAAGGACAAATATTGAATTTATTTTGAGTTTTGCTGGGGTTTTCCCTACGTGCAACATTGCAGCTGAAAATACATGACTCCTGTCTTCTAGGTTTACATTACAAACAGGTACACCAGCATCATGTAATATACAAAGCCACAAAGACTGAAGTTAACAGAGACAGAAAAAAACTGCTCCTTCAATTTCCAAACATCATTTCATTTATTTGAGCTGCAAACGGCTATCAAGTAATTTGTCCAAACACAGGAGAAGTTTGAATATAAGGTGATTTTAGAGGTGTTCTACATGTCTGTGCCTAAGTCAACATAAACAGCATAATCATTTCAACATCACTAAAAAAACCAAGAGAAGAACTCTCAGCTGCTGCAGACTGTCGTGGATGTACAAACATTAAGGTTGACAGGTCAGTTAAACAAACATATGAGCCAAAACAAACTACATGTGCAGATGATCTTACATCTTTTCTTCTTCACAACATTGCCAGCATGCCAGTTCTAAGTACAGGATAGGTGGATGGGCAAAAATTTACAGAAACCTATCATAAAACCTACATGGATGCTCACTTCTCAATACACACACTGGATGACACACACAACATGCCAGAACATATATTATATGCAGAGAAACCCAGACTGGCTAAGTTTGGATCCTAATTGCTGGCTGTTAAATCTTACTGGCTATCATTTAATCAAACAAACTCTGAGGTTGTGTTGTTTTGTCATATGTCTTCCTGAGTTATTGAATCATCAGCACTAACTGCAGCACCCAGGCTGGTAAGTTTTTACCAGTGTCTCTGTGTTGATTGAACACTGCAGGAATATCAACCAACAAGCTTCAGAGACCAGAGGAAAAATATGACTTTGAACAAAAAACAACTAATTTTTCCTATATGTTACTAGTCCTCACTGCACTTCCTTCCACAGATTCAACTGCTACAGCTCAAGAACAGCATTGACAGCATTTGAGCTGGAATCTCCTGTACCAAAAGCTGCACGAATAAACTGGGAAAGTCTAAAGAAGTGACACAAGAAGTAGACATCTGGAAGTGGTTAGAAGTAAATAATTTTTAACCATGTTTATGTTAATTGGTCTGCAGCTATCCATGGCATCCAGGCATCAACATTGTTTCATTCCCATCTGCATTTTGACTTCAAAACTTGGACATCCAAACATACTTCTTGTCCCATTCATATTAGCACAGCCTCATACTTGCCTTGAAGCATTACTCTGCCTCATACTTGAGAGTAACCTTGTGAACAGGTCTGCTCCTCTTTCCTCTGCCAACGCCTCTGCTTTAGTATGGAGTATTTTAGAAGGTCACTAGTTAGTTTTCTTTTTTTTCTCCCAAGAACTACCAAATATCATAGCTTGTTATGTAAGAGTTACAGAAACTAAACATCTGCTGCCTCAAAAATCAAGAAAGCTCAGCAGTGTTCACTCCTGTGTGAAAGAACCCATTTTACTTGCCTAGGGCAGAAAACCATGTTCCTGAGAAAGGGTAAAAATCCTGCCAACCAGCTGGTTTGTCTTAGCCCTGAGTGAGGCAGTCATTCACTGCCCCTGCTGCAAAACAGTGTCCACTATACTGGAAATCCCATTTGTTTTGTATCCAACTGAATTGATAACACAAACCACAAATTTGTGGTTTGTGTTATCAGTTGTACAACAATTGATAACAATTGTGTTATCAGTTGTACAACACATACAACTATTGAGTGGCTGGTATTTTGCACATTCATTAATTTTGAGAACGATTGATTGCAAACATAAGCAAACAGAGCAATGGCAAGTACAGTGATTAACATGCAATGTATGTTACTACTGTAACACAGTGTATGTAAAAATGCAATAGTTCTTCCTACTGATTTACCCTGCCATCAGTTCCATTTGTTAGACCGAAATAGCTGCTTCATTATTCAAAAGGCAAAAGAATTGCAGAACATCTGTTAAATATCCTATATGACACACTTCAAATACTGTAATTGTCCACAAAAATGTAATTACTTTGTGTAAAATGCATAAGGACAACAAGTTGAAAGAAAAGCTGTAATTGTTTCCATGTTTTCACTACAATAGTCTTCAGCCTTAAAATGACAGTATTTTCCTCAAAACAAAGTTAAGAATATAGATAGATTTTCTTTGTGGTCTCCAATTTCACATTCTAAACAGTGCAGCCTAATAAAAAAATTAGCCAAACATTAAATAACTTATATAGCCTATAAGCAACCCCCTACAGCTTTTCTCTACAAGAAAGTTCATATGTCAGCATCCACACACTTGAATGTCTAACATACAAAGTTGGTACACTACTTGAAAGAACTATCAGGCCATTAAAAGACAAGAAATTTGTTCACAAAAGACTCTTTAAAGTGAGCCAGAAATTTATCTACTCATTTCAAATCACTAAAAAAGTAAAGTCTTATGCCAACTGGAAAACTGTATTTTGCTATTCCATTTTTAGACTGCATTTTCAGATACAGAAACCATTTGTCTAAAATATAAAGTGGTATCTTAATCTGTTTTTACATGCATACATACAAGATATGAATACAAACTTTTACTGCAGAATTATGTTCAATATTATGTATTCTACAACTGCTCAGAATACACTGGAGTGTTTTTTACTGACCTCGATTTCCACAGAATTGTGAAATTGACATAAAGTAAGCCACAGAATTTCAAACCTAAAGGAGGAAAAAGATAGGGAAGGATGGAGGAAAAAAATATATGTAGTGAAACTGTAATACAGTATGCTCCAAAGTCTTCACGTAGTATCCTGCTTGTAGTACAATCATATTCAGAACAGAAAAGGACTTTGAAAGTACTTCTACATATTACATTCTGTAAGGTGGAACAAAAGTAATTTACACTGAATAGGCATCTTAAAAAATAGTCAAAAACAGGAAGACAAACAGTGAAAGGCAATATATGCATATGCATAACATGCTAAAGGAAGAATAAGTCTGTTTCAGAAAAATGCTGTATTCAGCACAGAGTTGGCAAGATTAATCATGCAACCACTGAGATTTTATCATTACCTCAGTTTGGAATCAAAGTTCATTATACTTCCAAAGTCTGTTAATGAAATGCAGTATGTGTGTCTTAATAGCCTAAGATACAAGATAACTGGAATCAACTTGACCTTAGAAAGCATTAAGATTCAAATCCAGGAAAGGATTTAGTAAACCTAAATTAAGAAGCAGTGTCAAGCAGCCACATTTTCATTCAGTATCTAGGTAGTTACAGTAGTCAATCATTGTGAGGGGACAGCAGGTCAAAATCCTCTTACACAGATAAAATGCAGTTCCACATTTCTACTCATTCGACTCATACACCCATGTAGGGCTGCAAAACATTTCCCCCCCTCTTCCTTCTTATTGAGCTTCCAACACATGAAAGCAAAGAAATGACTCAGGAACAACAATGGAGCTTGTAATTTGAAGTTCACGTTCCTGACAGAAACACTTAAGTCTGGGTTCCAGGTCCTTGTTCAAGAGCATTAAACCCCCCCAATAAGTTACAAGTAAAGTTTTCTCTCTGCCATCTCTGTAATCCTCAAATATTGAACCTTGAATTTAAATAAAAATTTAAAACTGATAGAATCTGTATCTCACTCAACTATGGTCATTCTTTGTTTTCAAGGTAGATTCAGTTATTCTGCTCTGAATACTGCCAAAGCAGTAAAAACACCACTTTCAATGAGTGTTTAAGTTTGCATGTGACAAGTTTTTAATCCATCTAACAGGCTACAGCACCTTTAAACAAGCAATACTCCTAGATACAGAAACATTTCCAGATTTCTGTTTTAGTGTTAGCCAAAACATGAAGATATGTTTGCTAAGAAAAAGAAGCCTGCTATCAGTCTTAATTGCATTTTCTTCTAAGTCATCACAAATACATTTTAGGTTACCCAGGAGAATTAATCCTAATTAAGCTAAACTTTAATTTAAACTGACCCAGTCAATTTGTATAACATCACATGCTGCTGCAGATTCTGATTCAGTTTTAATTAAATTTAACTTTATTAGCAGAGGTCAACACTTCAGAATAAGGGTTTTCTAGACATTATAGTGATCTGAGGCAAGACACCTACAGGTTTCTTCCATCTTCCTCTATGTTCTTGAGTCCTCAGTTAGGATACTAAGGTGGAAGTAAGCCGCTCACCTTTCTCCTCTATGGCCGAGTTACTTCTTTACATGAATTGCAGTGCAAATGCAAGGGAAGAGGTAGGACCTCACGAGAACATAAATCCCTTTATGCAGCAAATGCTGCAGTGTCTGTTTACATTATACACAACCATAGATTCAGCGACTTCCAAAGTGACAAATTATTTGTAAGCTGAACCTTTGCAAGTGATTGATGATTTCCTCAAGTCTCAAAATCACGTCCTTAATTAGACCTGGTTCCTAAGTGCAAAACTTAATTGACAAAATTCTAAATTACTTGAATCTTGACTAATCCCCATGGTTTCCTCATTATTACTGAAATATAGGATGTCACATGGGACAATCATAACAATATAAAGCATTAACCACAGAAGCCAACTCTCCTTTACTTAGGATTCAAAATTTATTGTTTTCCTCTTGATCTAAACATTTTGGAATTTCTATTCAAATCCCAACAAGAAGATAATGCTTAACAACTTTCTAAACAAGCAAGAACTGCTTTGTTTAATATTATACCTTACATGAATTTGCTAAAGACTCTTAGAATAACATTTTGTTTTAAAAAAAGGTCGAAATTATATTCAGACAAGATAATGGAAAGAGTATCTCCAAATTCTTTGAGTAGGTCAACTGTTTTCATGAGAGTAGACCAATTTCAATCAACAACCCTAGATTTTATACAGTAATATACCAAATCAACTTGCAGGCCACAGAATATGTAGAGCAGAGGCAAGCTGGTTTACTTCAGGCACTTGGCTAAAAAAATAAATTTGAAATAAAAACCTAAAATTCATTCTGCAAACCAACAGAATCATAGAAGCTGAAGTACATTGTTTACACCTGGATTCCTCTTAATAACTATTAGTATAATTAGAGAATAACAGATAAAAAATAAATTAATCCCAAAAAATAATCAAATAACCAGCAACTGGTTGACTATATATGCATATAAGTCATATAAATAAAAACTAATTGAGGAAAGAAATTACAAAAGCAATAAAACATTAACCACTTACGCTCCTGGCCCTTGCCATGTCCACGTGATTGTGTCCTAAGGAAAGAAGTGTGACATTTGCAATTAATTACTGTGCATTCAACTTTTTACATTGCACACAGCATAACTGACAATATATTGCTAAGAAGCTTTCATGGAAACTTCTATGTTCTCTTTGCAGAAGTTCTTAACCCTGTTAGGAATCAGCCCATCTTTTATACAGCTATATGGCCAAAACGAACACTGTGTGAAACAACAAGGACAAATCACAGTAAAAGAAGTGGACAAGATGCAAACAGCAAAAAGGGAACAGAGACCTGTAAAGCAATAAATAACAGGTAGGAATATGACAGTAAAAGTCATCCCATTTTTAACTAATACTAAAAAACTGCACTACTTGGAGGTGTGATTTATATGTACAATAAGGAATCAAAAAACCTGGAAATTAGTGCTGTTCTAACTGAGAAAAAGAGTTCAAGTCATTAGTGTAAAAACAAGAGGACTCTTTAAATTCAGGTTTCTGAGAGACCTGATCAGAAAGATACTTTTTTCAACCTACTGAACATGTTCCAGTTCAGTTCTATGCTACCATCCAAACCAATTCTAGAGATTTCAGGCGATCACATATGTGCCATGACCATAAAAAACCAAGTCAAACTGAAGTTTTAATTACCATTTAGAGCAAAAGGCCACCTAAAGTAAAAATAAAAGAAAGCAAACCCATCCATAAAAGGTGAAAATGCAATTAATGATAGAACAATAGCTTGGAGAGTAAGGTCTATATGTCATAAAGATCCACTAAAAATTTAAAACTTGACGTCTCAAAATTATTTTCAATCAAACAAAATACGATAACGGATGGGTCTATCTGTAGCAATCAATTTATCTGCATTAAAAAACTCTACCTCCATGTAGCAATCTTTTAGAACTATAATGCGGATAGTTTTACTGTTACACAGTTTCTGGCTATTTTGATGTTTCTGATAACACTGCAAGTAAACACATTATGGGTTTTGTCTTCCCACAAGGAACTTTCATTACAAACCATGAGAAACCAGTGTAGATAGCTGATAACTTATCTAGAGACTAGATCTGCCTTATAGAACACCTCGCAGTACACATCTCCAACTCAGCTCTCTAAATTGCAACAGTGCAGAGGGAGATAAAGAAAAATGTCATCTCCACAAAAGTGTCTGGGTCATTGAACAGTGCACAGGTATTTTCAGAATCCAGCCTCATGCTGACTAGCTGGCAAGTCAAGCTCAAGTAAGCCATCAACAATCCTTCAAGAAATTCCCTATGGCAATGTCATAGTAGACAGGCACACTTTTTCTCATCAAAACATCAGGATGCATCAGGGATACTGGCCAGAAATGCTATCTAGGGGAAAATAGGGTTCTGATCTGCAAGAGGTAGATGCATGTTATAGGACATTCCTACCAACATAACTAATATCTTTATGATAAAAACAACAAGCAGACAAACAGAAGTAGGATTTTCCTAACATAACTAAGTTACCTTTTATATTTATCACAGCTACCAGCTTATGCCTTTGGACAACATTCTCTTTGACGGCATTCTTTGAAACCATTGCATCTACGTAATGAATACTTTAAATTGTGTGGAAGTACATAAAATGATACAATAGCTTGGTTGAAAGGGACCTTTTAAGGCCATCCATTCCAACTCCCCTGCAATGAGCAGGGACATCTTCAACTACATCCTGTTGGCCAGAGCTCCATCCAACCTGACCTGGAATGTTATCCCCTCTGTTATATCCCCTCAGCACAGGAGGAAACAGGGAGAAGACCTATCTTCCATAGAGCTTGTATTAGACACAAGAACATATTGAGAATCATATGGCAACCTTCAAATAGGAGATCGGCTGCGTTTTTAGAGGTTCAGTTAACCCTGATACACCAAAACTCTTATCAAATAGCACAGTTACTTGTGGAAGACATTTGGACATAGAATATATTTTAAATGGCTCTGTGATATTTAAACAGGTATATAGTTTATATATTTTCATAATTTCCCAAGTAGCAGCACTCTGACAGAAAATTCAAATGAAAAAACAAGGGAAATAAGTAAAAAAATTGTAAAAAGGATTGCAGTAGAGAACCTCTGGGTGAAGACATCAGAGCATTTATTCTAACTAGAATATAGGTAATAGCTCTCAGGCACCCAATACCTAATATATTACCAATCTAGACAACTATTACCAAAATTTTGAATATCTAAACAACATTTTAAGATTTACAATTTCTTTCTGCTCATGCATCAAGAAGAGAAGCATACTCAAATATTACTACTAAAAAGCACTGATACAGGACCAGAGTTGCCATATAATACAAATAGTCACAAGCCTCAAGACAACTGTTATTCAGGGAGCAACCCTAACTATAAAAAATATAAAACACAGAGTTCTTCACAGCAACCAGAACTAGATTTATTTGCTAGAAAAAAAAAAAACAAATCCTGAATTTACTTCTTCACTTCTGCCATGTTTCAGCCCACTGCAGAACAATAGTGCTTTCCCCAGCTCTTCAACAGACTACAATGAAATAAACATGCCAGAGTGCAGACACCTTCTACCTTCACCCCAGCCTCTGGTCTCAAAAAGCCTCTCTAAACAGCCACAGGTGCACTCAAATCCAAGACTTTTCTAATCTACACTGTGGAACTCAAAGCTCTTAACACAGATCAGAGCAGGCACTTCAAGCAAAACACAATGGGGCAACTACACACAATTTATATTTGGAGCTCACTAGCTAAGCAAAGATCTTAAGAAGTTCCTTTCTAAGCCTAAAATTATAATATGCAGTCAAACAAGAAAACAAATAGAAAGCCAGAGACACTTAAAGTTCGCTAAAAATGTTATCTTAGTGTATGATAACCAATTCTCATTCCCTGCTCTGCTCTTACATGTGTCGTGGTTGAATCCCAGCTGGCAACTAAGCACCACGTAGCTGCTTGCTTGCTTGCTCACTCCTCCTCCCCCAGGGTGGGCAGGAGAATTGGGAAGAAAAGGTAAGCCTTGCCTTGCAGGTTGAGAAAAGAATAGCTCAATAATTGAAACAAAATAATCTAACTCCCTATCCTAAACAAAAGAAACCTCACCTTCATGTACCACATCGTATTCCTTCTGCCTCTCCTCCTTCTAACTCCGACACAACTCTTCTGCAACCCCCAAGATAATGTAAAAATAAAGCACTAATAGCAATTCTCGCCTCTGTCGTTAATGCTTAGACCTTTGGGAGGTCTCTAGGAATTAGATCATAGGAGGTTAAATGACTCAGTAAGGCATTGAAAATCAAGTGTTTTACAGCAAGTAAAATTAGTAGGAAAAGTTAAGTCCCATATATAAACTCATGCCAGCTCACAATGGATATCTATATAACTAGTTAGAAATTATTTTATGACATTTTTGCAGTAACATAAAAATTATGAAAATTTTAATTTACATTTATATTGTTTTACTTCAACATTAGAAGCTCACAAATTTCTATTAATAAAGTGTTAGGAACATTTACTATTGGTTTACAAACATTGCATATTATGTACTACAAGCAATAATGACATTTCAGTATGCACCTGGATTTTGAAGATATTTACAAAATAACATTTAATAGCTTTATATTGCTATGGGCTTAACAGTAACAAAAAGTTACAAGGCATATCAATATGACATAAGTTGTTAGCATGTTTGCCATTTTAAATGGCAATGCCATCAAAGCTTCAAACTATTTTTAGAAAAGAATCTTTCTTCCTGAAAATATTACAATTATGTAATGAAAAGTCCCAGGCAGCCTGCTACAATGCATTTGATACTATGTAAGCATATCAGGCTGCTATTCTTGTCACAGTATCTGCCAAGATAATTTTTGGGTTTGTTACTGCAAACTATTTGATTGCCATTACACCTTGACGCAGCCAAGAGCAAATGGTGGTCTGTGTTTATTAACTTTGCTTGGATCCTTGTCTTTTTTAATCAAGCTTATGTTTTATATCAACCTGTAAATGACAGAAAGAACAGTGGATGGATATTTGTAACCTGCTCAGGTCCCAAGAGTAACAAAATTCTTCCTTAGAACAAGGGATTGTTAATGGGCTAGTCAGAGATCTTCTGATGTGACATGCATCAGTAAAAGAGACCACGTGGTTCTTATTTTACTTCTGACGCTCTTCACACCCTCCCCTAAGTAACTTCCACTTCAGAAGGGGACAGAAACTTCAGATATTGTAAATAAACACTATAATCTGCATTTTACCTGAATATAATTTACATTGGAGGACTAGTCCAAATTAGCTAATTCCTTAGCCAAGGGCATGGTGAATGTAAAACAGACAAGATGACACTTTATAAAGGTGCAGAGGTCCTCTACACATTATCCCATAACATTCAGCCAGTCACAGTAATTCATGACTAACACCCCCAAAGGCAGGAGATGCAGAAACATCTTCCAGCAATAAATGACATTAAGAAAATTTTCCAGCAAACACTGCAGGAGCAGGCAGCACTTAGGAACACAGATCCTGGACAGAAATTGCCATTTGTGTCATCATTTGTAGAGTACTTCTTGTAACAACCTGAACAACTTTCAGAGCAGAAATATTTAAACTGTCTCAGCTAAGACTCCCTATATTGCTTGAGGCTTAAGGAATACTTAACTAATAATAACTTACTGATGATTTTTTTTCATTTTTGAACCTAAAAGGTTACACAAGGGCCAATGCACTTAAAGGAAAATGCCCTGAATTTCCAATGAGACTGCAAGCTGAACTTACCAGTTTGTTTGGATAACGTAAAACCACTGGCTGTACAGGAACCCCGGGAATAAATGCTCCTAGAAGGCACACACAATACATAATTAATTTATAGTGCATTTTGGTAGAGAAGAAATTTATCGCAGCAAGAAAAAATTATAAACTAACAGACTGATAGGAAGTAGTTGATGGTGAAAAAACAGGATCTGAAAGTAGCCTCAAAAGTAATCAAAAAAGCAAGCATTGGAGAATGACAATGTATATCCTCCTTTTCAGCAGACAGCTAATTAAAAATGTTTGCTTACATTATCTAAATTATCCTCTACCACTTATACATATTGTCATTTACAAGTCAAAGCTTAGTAAAAACATCAGCTCAATAAATTAATATTAAAAAAATGAGCATGCACAAGATGTTTATTAATTTATTCCCTGTGGTCAACCATATTTTTGGTAAAGACCTTAGGCTTTCTTATATAAAAGAAGCTTTCTATTTTTATCTGAAAAATAATAATTTATAGGCAATTTGTCATCTCTGAAATAACAGAATTAATGCCACTTCTATTCTGTAGCTATGGAAAAACTAATAGTTACAAATTGAACTAGAGCTATTATTCAGAAGCATTGCTTCACTTCATGGGAAAATTACAGCTCTGATAAATAAGCAACACAAGTTCTATGTCATTTGCTAAGCATTTTCTAATACAAAGATTGGGTAAGCATGATATGTAGCTTGTTCAAGACTTCTCTTAACACCTCTTTCTCTCATAAAGAAATTAAGAGTTTCACTCAAATTATCTTATTCTTGACAATTTACTAAGGTCTCCCTAATAGTCCAATTACAATTAAGAACTGAATAATCAAGTACACTGTATTCCTAGAACAACATTTGCTTTACAAAATAACTGTCAAGACTTAAAAGGAATAATTGTTTATGAAGTATAAACATCTTTAAATGAAGGCGGTCTGTACAGAATCCTTAAGAGATCTGGAGGCCAGTGGTACCTTCTGCTCAGTCTCAAAGAACAGTCTAAGCAACTTTTGAAATAATCCGAAGCTGACAAAAGCTGACTGGTAGATGACAACACTACCATTTAAACACAAAACCAAGAAAATGTGTAGTAAGAGTAAGGAGCATAGGCCATGTTAGCAGAATGAGGAAAGGCATCCTGATAGAAATAACTTGAACAGAGACCTAAAGTAATGCGATATAAGTGAGGAATTTTGAAGCAAAGGATTTCTGGAAGGCTAGATGGATACAGATGCAGGTTTCAGTAAGAAAAGTGAGAGAGTTAAGAGGCAGACAGCAGCATGTACTGGACTAGAGCAGAGGAATATAGAGTGAAAATGTAAGGACGAAATACATGGTGTCTGGAATGTCTATGGCACAGAGGGAGGGAAATCAGGGCTTCACATGAAGGATTCAGGCTAGCTTTCAAATCATGGTCAGGATTCAGGTGGAGAGAGAAAGAGAGCAAAGAGCTACAGAAGTAGATGTTTCCCTAATCACCATTCCATCATCTAAAATGTTAAGAGCTGAGAGAAAAGTCTGAGATTCCTTCAGCCAAATGAATCAGTGCAAGGAACCACAGTGCTGACTCACTGCATGATATTCTAAGAGCCATATTTAAATTGCAAGCCAAACAAAACACAAGACATACAGTAAGACTAGAAACTAGGAAGTCAAAAAACACATTCACAACTCCCTTGCTCACTGAAGTTTCTTCATTGACCATCTCTCTACCTACATGATAAAGGCAAGTTTACATTAAAGATCAGTGGTTTACTGCAGTACTGGCATTTCTCCCTACTGGAAATGCAGTTTACAGCTGCAGCAATGTTCAGCATTACACCCTCTACTAATCTGATAAACTAAAAGGGTGATACTACTGAAAAGAGTTTAGAACATGGATGTTAAGTAAAAATGGTAAAAAATGGAAGCCTCTGTAACAGTGTTACATGGGAAACATTTTCATGCCATCTTCACCACAATGCAACTCCAGAGAAGAGTTAGACAGGGATCAGCCAGACACAACACAGCAACAAACACTGGGCAGCCTGAAACAGATACACTACAAAGCTTAAGGTAGCAAAGAATATCTAAATGCTGCATAACAGACCCAAAATAGGAAATGGAGGGGGCAAGGAAACAAAAAAGCAAAAAGACACAACCACAAACAAAAACCCAGGAAGAAACATTATTCCTCCAGCTCATATGCACCTCAGAAGCCAAGAAAAAACCTGAATTATTGAAATTGTTTGAAAATTGAAATGGTAGAATTACAATCTTCCTGCAGCATCAAAATTTATATTCAAATTTTACCCTATTGCAAGGTATTAAACTCAACTTTGGCAACAGCAAGCAAATTAAAATGCAACTGGTATTTCAGAAAATGAAGATACAAGGACATTCTGTAGAGAACAGAGAAATGAGCATAATACCTACCAGGTTTGAATGTAATTAGACAGGATCGGTTTGTGCAAGTGCCCTCTGGGAATATCATTATCTTGAAGTAAAAAAAAAAAGTTGACTTTTAAGAACTATTTCAATGTGAGTTTATTTATAAACACATATTTTCAAAGCTGCTATTAACTGATTACAGCAAAAATGTTCTCAGGGAAAAACAGTTCAGTTAGAGTAAAAAGAAATGTTGCTGAAGATGTCAAGTAAAGTTCTACCTTAAGAGTAAAAAATATTTTTCTTTATCTGTGATTTTGCCTCTTTCTTGCCCTCCAATAATAATTCTATTTATTGGAACACTGACAATGACCAGAAAGACTTGTTAAGAATGAGTATTTTCGCCGAAGATTTTGGTGCTAGAAAAAGTATCATAATCTGTTGTGTACCAGAACAAAATTCCTGCTCCCAGACTACCTGCTTACAGGCTAAGAAAAGACAGGTATTTTCTCTTTGCTATTACTTGGCATATGCACAGATGCCCAAAGGACAGAGACTGAAAATACCTGAACAGAATTCTAAAAAAAGGAGCAAAAACACTTAAGTTGAATCAATTCAGCAGAAGAGGGTAAACTGTACAAAAACAAAGGCCCCCCCACCCGATCCATATTATAAGGGAAAAAAGCAATGGACTAGAAGTAACATTACTAGTTTTATTGCCCACTCTGTCCTAGCTTGCTTTGAAATCTAATGATGAAAGACATGATACAAAAGCTACAAATCACCTGTCACACTGTTTATAGCTGTTTATAACATGTCTGCAGTCCAGTATGCAGAGGTATACCCACTGTTAGCAGCAATAATCCCATAAAAAATATACAGTACCCTAACCTCAAAAAAATCACAGGAATGCTTCAAATTTGCAAAATAATCACATGCTTCTAGGAATCTGATATATTATATAGTCACCCTTTCCTTCCCATTGCTCTCTTTCGAGGCACATTATACATAGCCACATTTTAGGTGCAGAAAAAAGCCCTGAGCCATGTATTTTATCCTTGTTTTCATCACGTGTTTTAATAGAGGTTGTTATTGGAACGTCCAAATTTTTTGGGCTGCCTTGTCCGGTATCACATCTCCAACAATGGCAATGCCAAATCTTGCAAAGGGCGAGAAGACACAGTACTTTCCCAGGTATTCTGTTGAGCCCTTTATTTTTTTTCTTAGAGGACTTCCTCACCTGCTGTGGCCTGTCCATTTAGTACCACTTAAGAGCTGTCTAGCCATGTACTTACCCAGTTTTCCTCAAAGCACAATGCAATGAGAGACCGGTAGAATGTAAGAACATTTCATCTTCTAGGAAGAGGGGATGGGGGAAATTTCACACACACGCCACCTCAAACCATCTAAATCCACCCACAATGAGAAAAGCAAACTGCATTTCCAAAGCCTGGAAATGCCAAATACCATCTCTTGCAGAGTAGCAGCATACAGTACCTGTGGCCATTTACCATCAGACTGGGCACGCCTCTTTATCTCTTCAACAGTTTTCCTGCGAGAATCCTGGTCTGACCGAGATACAAATACTGGTCGAATATATTTGATCAGAGCTGAAGAGGAGGGAAAACAAAAACAAGGACCAGCCTTTATTTTCGCTTGAAAAAGATCCCCCACGCCCTCCATACATTCCCACCCCTCCAATTACGCCTCTGGAAAAGATTTTTTGTTAAAAGAACATAACTGCTTTACTATATTACACTGCAAAATTGAATACTCAGCTGAATTACTGCTGCTTTATTGAAATATTTTCATAAGTTTCTGTGAGGAAAACAGTTTTCAAAATTTTGGCATTTTTGCAGTTTTTCAGTTTTTAATAGATCAATACATATGACATAGATAGTGTAAAACATGGTGGTACGTATTATGCAATTTTCTGCAACAATGCAGCTGTGGCTGTCTATAGGCTATTTCCTCCTTCCACAAAAACACAAAGTCTATAGCCACTCCCATACTAGCAAAGCAGCAGGAATCTCCCTGCTAAGTAAGTGCTTGAAAAAAACACCCTGTCAGTCAAACTGTCTCTGTCTTTAGAGCTTTTGTCTTCCATGACAGCTCAAAGGGAGATGGGGAGCTCAAGGGACAGCACCAAAGATATTATATACACTGATGTTATTTTTTGTGAAGAATCAATGTCAACAGAAAAGGTATGCTCATTTTCTCAGTTGTCATTTGTTTGCCTGTTCCTCATACCAGATGAATTAGATCTCAGACATCCTTTCTGGCTCAGTAGGAAGCCTCTTGTATGTAGCCAGACACAAAATTAACATGAGCAAAAACTCAGAAATCAGTCCACAAGATACTCTCCTCCATGCATGTCTGTCACAAGGACACCAAAGACTTTCAAAACTTTGAAAATAATTAAGAAGCCCATACAGCTCTTTTGCAGTGTTCAAAAGCACTACAGAGAAGTACCTTCAAATATAGTGCTTCATGCCTTTATTTAAGCAGGTTGTCTTCCAAAACAATATTTTTTGTATCATATTATCTTACTTGAAGGTTCAAGAGTCACTAAAACATTAGCTATTCTACTTGCCTCAAATACAGTTTTCATTTTTCCAGCCACTGTGAGAAGAGTTCACTGACACTGTATAATCTGCTTTTGCCAAGGACAGACTTGCTACATTAACAGATCAGCCAGTGCTTAAAGGGTGAAGAAAAAACAGTCTAAGGAATTACAGCCCTGTACTCAGCAAAAGCTGCTGGTTATGGTGTTATCCCACTGGAAGTTTAGCCATCAACTCACCAAAATCACTCCAATTATGAAGGTTCTGAGAAATAATCTGTCAAACCTTACAGCAAGTTCCCAAACATTCAGCCAGGCTCTGAAATATTAGTTTTATTCCATAAGCTGCCACAGTTCAGGAGATAGTGTATCAGAAAAGCTACCTTACTCTTGTACTTTTTCCTACTTGCCTGCTCTAAGACAATATCTACAGAACAGTGCTTGTCAGGGGAGCGAAGATCATCTTTGGCCAGCTGGGGTTACTATCAAGGTGAGGTAAAAACAAACAAAAAAGCCCCAAAACAAACCGGAAAAAGACTAACACAAAGAATAGGAAAAAAACCCCACAAACACAGAACAAGCAATAAAAATAACAAGGGATACCATACTTGGTATCAGAATTGTTTTCTTCTTAGTGATCCTACTCCTGATTTTGCCCCACTGTTGCAATTTACTACTCCAAAGCAAAAACATTATAAAGTAAAGGAAAGCAAAAGATCCAATATTCCCAGCCTTCACTTGGAAGTTTCTTTTACATTTAGTCCAAATAACAGGATTTCGGTTACTTCAGGCCAAGGAATGAATAAGGTAATTCCAGAACTCCCAGGCTCTTTTCTGAGTATATGCTGCAAGCAGGGTCTTATTTATCACACATGAAATTAAGCAAGCAGACAGATTTTTCTTTAGGCAGTGTGACAGAAAACATCAGACTACACTGAATTCATCTGTATCTGAGAACTGTACAGGCAAGATGTGCCAACTTGGGAACTTTACTGTTACAACCTTCCCAAAAGCAAGCTACTGTAATGTTACTAAGCTCCAGAGGAACACCAGGTGGGTAATCTTACAAATGACCAGCACCACAAACAGCAACACACCCCTGTGCACAGAAAAATTACTCTGGTATGCTAAAAGACAGAGGCAACAGAAAGATTCTTATGTATTTGTCCTGCCTATTGAATTAGCTGATTAGGGTAGTTACATTAAGCCATACCTCCTTAGACATTGGACTAAAAAAGATGACAGAATTCTTGTTTTAATGTTAAACAGCAACTGAAGATCCTGTGAAATGCCAGCTACCAGGCCCTTAGTGGTTAAGTCCAGCACTTTAAGTGAACCTGAAACTCTCAGTCATCAGTGAAAAGCTGAATATACACACCAGGGGAAGCTAAATTTTACTTTTCCTAACCACTTCTGAAAACAGAGCACAAGGCTACACAGATCTTTACTTTCACCACATACTTTCATGTTCAGTAAACACACAAATCTGGCTGTACCAAGTCGATCTGTGCAAGGAAGTCAGGAGCAGGGACAAAGGTGTGTAAAGAGAAGCCGAAAACCATATCAAATAGGCAGCCAAGATGAGACTGTGGTCAGAAGTCAACTTGAAGCACAGGAAGGTAGTACCTAAGGTAGCGTGTGATGCAAGGAATAGGCAGGACTAGGGCAAAGTCAAGCCAAAAGTGAAAGCATAAAATGCTTCAGACAGCTGGCATACTGAGCAACTATAAGGAAACAAGCAGAATTCTGCAACATGTTCAATAAACAGAACATAATCATATCCTTCTCTGCTCAGCAATTTAACTGTCCAATACTGGCTGAAACCAGATAGTGAAGACCACAGCTCAAGTGTTCAGAGATTCTGAAAAATGTGCCTGCCCAGCTCCTCTCACTCCATTAAAACCACCCTTGAATTATCAAATCTAGTGGGCAAAGACAGAGAATCCATCAATTCACAAAATTGATCTTGTGAGTGTCGTTATTTCAGCTTTTTCTCTAGCAATAGCATTCCCAATTTCAGATCATAAAAGGAATCCTGAGGACAGCTGTCATGCTGTATTCTACCTTCTTAGGCAGGCATTTAATATGCAATTTAAATAGTGCTCCCAGTAAATCATTAAAACCTCTGCCTCTCGGGACAGCCAGAATGCCACAGATATTCTAACTAACTGAAAGTTGCTTGAAGCAGCCTTTTTAAAGAGAGCCTGCAAAAACTAAGTACTGCTTTAATTATTAGCAGGGTGGCAGCTACAACTGATTTCAGAACTGTAATTCCCATGCAATCAATTTCAGCACCAGCACAATGCATAAGCAACCCCCTTTTTTTTTCCATGAAAAGCTGAACACATACTGTTGGTGTCTTTAAACTTTTTAGGATGACAGCAAAGAAAAAATTATTTTCCCTCTCTCTTTGCAGGCAACTATGTGTGAGGAAACCTTGTTTCAATTCAAGACAAAAAGTGCTGTATAACACACAACAGCAGAAAGTATTGTAGCAAGCTATTTACACACTGGAAACATCACCACTGGTTCTACAAGGCACCTGAGAACGCCAAAAGCCATGGAACAGACATGGGGCATTACATACAATTCTTTTAAAATGTATCTGTATACACATTTTTGAGTGGGCAGTTACATTTTCACTACTGTAGAATCAGCAACAAAGTGATAGCTGCAAAAGCAGAGACTGCTGAAGTTGAGGCTTTCACTTGGCCTCTCTCCTAAACAACACAAAACCCCACTACTACATTTTCCTGACACTCTAAGGGAATTCCACAGAGGAAGCACAACTGGCTCTGATTGCCTTTAACACAAGGTAAGCTATACAAGTGGCCTGTAGTGAGATATCCATTTACAGTATTTACTCCACACTATAGAAAAAATACAGTTATTTTTCTAATAGCAGTCACCATGTTGTGTATTCTATATTTAGGGGTACAAAACCCATGATGGATAAACGTTGAAAAGCTCTGTCTTGGGCTTAGTAATCAAGAGTTGCCTTATTCAAATGTACATGCTCACGAAGTTCTGAACTCATAACTTTTCTAATGAAATAACATCTAATATGAAAATGGCTCTTTTCTGTAGAGAAAAGAAGAAAAGAAAGCTACAAGAGGATCAAAAGTACTCTGAAAGTTATAGGTAAGAAAGCCATTAATGTTTTCTTACAATTACTTCCTGCGTATATGGACACAGAGACCTTAAAAAAAACCTCAAGAAACATACATACACCAAATACACAAAGTTGTATCAATGCACAAAACTCAATTCAAGCAAAATTAGGATCTTTTGCACTTGGAACTACATTGCTCTTACAAAAGAAGTGTTATTGTAGTCAATGATACGCTATAAGAGATTTGTAAAGCCGGTGGTGGTATCTTATTTTATATATATGACTTATATATAATATATAAACTTATTTGACTCAAGTCTGAATCGATTACCGAGGATAAAGACATGTCAAGAAAACTTCTCCAAGTCTGAATAAATGCTTAGCAGATGGACCACCTGACTGCAGGCATGCCAAGTATTCATGGGGTAGAGGCAGCATTAATGGGAAAGTTCTCCTCCCTGCTTCAAAGAGAAAGGCAGGAAACAATGCAGCCTATAGGACAAGGAAAGATCAGTAGCAGGAAGTAAATAATCAGTGTCCTCTTTAGCTTTAACAGAAGCAAATTTTCGTATTTGGGTTGGTCTTTCAAAACATGACCCATTTCCTTTAAGGACTCCTTGAGGGACAAAGACTTCTTTTTTACCTCAGACACCTGCAATACCTGTATGTGGACACGGTTAGCTTTCTGCTGCCAATCTAAAAAAGTATTTAAGGAAGGCAGCAGTATTGGTTTGAAGGTTTCCTATATACTGCAGTTTGTAACTTCAATAAATGATACTAACTAGTGATGGTGGTTTAAAATCATTCCAGTAGCAGTTTAAATGAGAAGTAATTTTTATAGAATTTTCCAGGACTCCAAGCCAAATGATAAACACATACCTATAACACACAGGTGACAATGCAGAGAAGCTCTGAGAGAGCTTCTGTGAGACTGAAATCTTGCAGGACCATCTGGGTGCCCACAGTCTGAAGAAAACATTGAATTTTGAAACAGAGGGTTTTAAAGTAGAAGATGAAATGGATAAGCTTGGCAACAACTTCAAGATGCTGCTCAGAAATAGAGAGCTCAAGTGTCTACTCAGGGCAGGCTACAATGCCAACATAGCATAGGATGCTGGCATTCATCCTGGTGACCTCAGTGTCCAAGCCCCTGATTTACAGTGTATAAAAGAGAAGAAATCTGTAATGCCTTCACCTTCGAACAGATTTTTCCATAAGGAGTTTAAGGACTGTTTTAGCGAATTTCATAAGTGTTTCAATGTGAGAGTCTCACAGAAGAGCTATGGGCTTACCACAGCTGTCTTCCTTGCGTTTGGAAGGGGTGAGGGGGAGCAATTGGGATGCAGGACTAAAGGATTAGGTTGCACAACAGACTGGTGGGTAATTTGGCACCTTTTAAACTTTGAGATGAAAACATACCCAGCTACCCAGGCATAAATACTTTCCCCTGAATTACTTTTATTCTCATCTTTTAGTCATGATGCTTGAGAAAAGCTTATAATGCACTTTCAAAAAATGAACTTGAACAAAAAAATCACTAGTTTACTAGATGTGGAAAAAACCATCTACAACAGAACTGACAGCTTTATAGCACTGTATGATTCTCCATTTCTCTGCAGGTCTGCTGTGTTCTGCCAAACACAAATTACCTCCTTCCCCTTTATAAACTTAAGGTTTATCATCCCATGCATTTCACAGGTACCAAGTCCCTCTCCTATTCAGAGAGTGGTGTTAGAGATATTGAGAAGTTGCCTAAAGTTTAAATTAACTTTTCACTTATATTTAGTTTCCAAAAGTTCAGACCGCTGAAAATGTTCAAATCATAAAAGTGGGCCAAGTCTCCATCAATTCATATTTACTGATAAATTCCATGTCAGTATTTCTGCAGCAGGACCAATCATTGCACCAATGAAAAACTACTTTTATCCAGGTTGCTCCAACAGCCAAAAATAAGACAGTGAAGTGTAACTATTCAGAATTTATGCACAAACCTTGTTCTGACTTGAAGTGTGATTCAGTAGACAAAACAAGGAAGTTTAAGGATCTGTACTGATAAATTGATCTGACTTCTTCAGACCATGTAAAGTATAACAGAATCCTACACGCCATTTTCCCACTGTAAGACAGAAGTGGTCCAGCAAAGTTCACATCTTCAATCTACCAAAACTCTGGAAAGTCATTGTATAGAAACATACATCTTCCTTCAGCATCATGACATAGTCCATCTGTTTGGCACTCTCTACTTTCCAGATACTGATTTTTTAAAATAATTGAAAAATACTGTTTATATTTGGGCAAGCAGTTCCTCCCCAGAGTTTGTTAACTTTGTGTGTGTGCCAAACGGATAATTTTCTTCACTACTGACCACTGACTGAAGAGTTCATTACTCTTTTCCCATAACCGAAGAGCATTTTTAAATCTGGTTTTCTTTGTTTTCCTAAAAAGGATGAAGATATCTATAAGAGTCACAAGACATAAGTCTGCTTCTGAAATTGGACTTTGTAAACCAAGAGAGCTGCCTTCAAGTTACACAGCAATAAAAACCCTCATACACAAATCCAGTTGTGGAGTACTTCCATTCCCATAAAGAACAGGCTTTTAATCATCTGGACTTTCAAGTGGATCAGAAGCTTAATATTCCATGACTGACTAACTACGGGTACAATAATATAGGCAGCTGTTCCAGAAACCTATTAAAATGCTTGCAGAACCAATCTTAGTAACTATTCAGCAATGAGATAATTTTGTGCCTGCTAGAGCACCTGATCTCTCCGGTATACAATGTACAATGTCTTAATAAATACTGTCATTACATCAAAAACCCAATTTATTTATATCATACTTGAATATAGAGGATGAGGATGTACTCTTCACCCAAAGTCCTCATCCTGGGAAATTAAATTTCCTCTACCACTTCATTTTTTACATATTTAAGTCTGCTCAGATAGTCAAATGAATGTACTTTATTCAAAGCTTCCCAGAAGATTCAGAATAACCATTCACAAGACTCAAGAGCCTTGTGAATAGTTATGATGTGTGAATGGTTATGAGACAATAAGTTTACAAATATCAGTGACTGGCTCCACTGACTGAAGATGGTGTATCAAGCTTGCAGGACTTACTAAACTGAAGAACACATAACATGATTCTGACCTCTCTGGGATAAATTCTGGATGAATATCTAGAGTGTTGACAATTCACCAGGCAATCCAACAAAAACATGAGCACATTATCATATAAGCACAAGAGAAATATCAGTAGTCCAATAACATCAAATTTATCTTTTTTTATGTGTGTGCATGTAGAGAGGTGTAAATAACATTGGGATTAAAATACTAGATCAAAGGAGAGGATAGTCAACACTGTGTACTTCACAGAAAACTCCTCTCAAAGCAGTAAAAGAGATTAAAAAATTAGTTTTACAGGTAAGTTCTCAGGTAATTTTTAAGCCAAACTAATCAATACAGTGATTACTACCTCTCTGTTAAGGTCCATTTACTTAAAGAACACAAACTGCTATAATTAATGTTGCTCATATAAAAGTCCACCCCTAAAAACAAAAATGGTTTTTGAACTCTTAATCCCAGTTGCGACCTTTGGTATGCCCCACTTCTGTGGCATTTCTGTGAACGCTTCACAAGTGACTACATAACTTTTGTGGCTGTACAGCATAAAGCAAATGCAGCTTTATGCAAGACAAAACATTCATTTATTTGACTGCACTGTACATTCCAGTAATGTTCCATCAAATCACTACACGTTCTCTTTTTCTGTAACTGGTTTTACTCACATATGAACTAAATGAAGTGAATATTTTTTAAAATGTATTGCAGGAAGTCTAGACTTTCAACAGAATCTTGTAAGTCACCTCAAAATTAAACTAGATATTTAGAAAATAATTTGATCTTCTTGATAAACATTATTTGTGTTACATTCAGGGGAACTACAATCTCCATATCTCTATATATTCTCCTGCTTCCCACTGAATCTACTACATGGGATACTTAAATAGCCATTATAACACTGTCAAATGCTATTCTGCCATTTCATCAAATTGCAGTAGCACAACAGGGACTGGAGTTACCTCATTTAATTTGGGTCCTCCAGACAGACTCCTTCAAATCAAAGGGAGTTACACACACACACACACACACACACACACACACACACACACACACACAAAACTTTTATTTTGCTGAGCCAGCAATTATTAAACAGTCAACGGAGTCACCTGAGAAGATAAATCGGCCTCTGCTTCTATGTCTGGACTGCCCCTAAAGCCCAACTTGGCCTGGATACACCTATGCTGCACATGACTGCCAACATACAGTATCTTCTTTCAGTACTGAACAAGGGAGTTCAATTTCTTTTTGTTTTCACACTATGCTTGTTTGCATACACTTGTTTTCAAAAACACATGCCTGCCTGTGCCCTTTTTCTTTTGGTTCAAAGCATTTATTCATTTTTACATAGATTTTTCACTGTCACAAATTTCTGAATGCCATTAGTAAGATATTCAACGAAACTACAGATCTGGCCTGAATTTTACCTCATGGAGGCAGACCCTTATATGACAAGATTCTTTAAATAAACTTCCATAGCTAACCACTCACCCTTTGTAGTCATGTCTCAGCTTCCGGTTTTGAACGTAACCCTAAAAACACATTGCCTAATTAAATTTTAGAATGATGTCAGCACCAACAGCCTGATTCCACTTAGTTGCAAAGGAACTCAAAGCTTTTGCTTAGACTTTTACATTTAAGAGTCCTACCCATGGCCAAAGTAAAGTCCTTTGTCACTTATTCTATCACCCATAAAAATCAACACAATGAGACAAAGGGATATTCATTGAACTTTGCTGGTCACTAGACACAAGATGGTGGGTTTCCCCAGAATGCTTCCACACAGACTTTGGTTAGAAGTCTAGAAGCCCAAAAGCTTACACAATTTTTTGCCTGCCACAACTGCACCAAAAATCACAGGTGTCCCTCAAATATTTGTGAGAACTTACATGAATAATTCCAACGACAGTATTCAAGCACGACTGACTTGGGCATCTGTTTTTCTCATGACTAAACCCAAATGCACACCAACCTGCTCTTGTGCTCACCTCTTACACTCTGCCCGAAACAAACTCATTGATGTGTGAGGATTAGCAGCACTCCCTCAAGGCAGGGTAGTGTTCAGTGCAGACCACATTCCTAAAACACATTTCTGGGAGGGCACCCCAACTCGCACCAAGTCTTTGTGGACTTTCTCTCTAGCATCAGTCTTTGCTTCCACAGCCCCATCCTAATTTGCTTTTCCATCTGGCACGTCTTAAAATGTTACAAGTTCACTGCAAATTGAACTGTGAGTTCTGTAGGATTGCTTTGACTTCACACAGGGATTCAACTTCGTAGAAAGTGGAAAAAAAATATTCCCCCTCCTGCCCCAATTTTTTCTATTGACATTCAGAAAAAAGAAAAATTCTCATCATATATTATAGCAACATTTCCTTTCTGTTTCAATCCTTCTCATACACACTCAGTGAACTTCCTAAGCAATCTTTTAAAAATTGTTCTTGAAAAATGAAGTATCTACCAACTTACTTCCCCAAACAGGAATATCTTTGCTTTCTGCCTTCATCACAATGGAGGCGAAGGTCATAGTTACTGGAATGGCATCAAAGTAGGAAGAATGGGGAGCCACCGTTAATATTGCTGCTTCTGCTGGCAAGGCCCGTCTGCCTTTTACATTTATCCAGTGGAATCCACCAGCAAGCCACATCATTCTCATTATTGCTTTCAGCAAAATATCCACTATCCTGCAAAGAGTTGGGAAAACAGTTATGTTGCCACAGGATCACCTTAAAATAAAATGAAAAATTACACGCGTGATGAAAGTTCAGATAGGATATGATGCTTAAAACAAAGCTGGAACACCGCACACACTTTGTTCTTTTCTTTTTCAGCTGATTTAAAACCACTTTTTAGGTAAGATGCTGTTCAACTTAATTTATACCCGAGCACTAACTCATTCTAGTGTCCAAGACTGTCATTTAGTTCATCATTAATTTTAATTCAGACTAGGACTAATAAGTTTCTTCTACACAATGCCTAGTAAGATTTTCTAGTAACACCTAAAAAGCTCTAAAAATTCAGTCCTGAAATATGCTATTAGGATATTGCCAGATTGCAGTTACCCTGATTCTTGGTTTCAAGTTTACCCAAGCAAAATGGGACAAATGCAGGGCAGAAATTCTCAAATACAGGGAGGCCTACAGGATACATATGAGAGCTCTGGAAATATTTTACTTTCTTCCCTTTCCCCATCTTCTCCTAAAGTGCTCTGGATTTTTGTTTCTTGTAGATTTTTTTTTTGTGGGGTGGAGATTTTTTTTTTGTCGAGTTTTGTTTTTCTTTTTAAACTGTCTGACAGTCATGAAAAGAGAAACTTTGAATCAACAGAGTACAAAAATCTAACATCACAAATTATAACACTTACAGGGATTGGAGGCTGGAGAGCAGCCTGAAAATTGGAATAAATGAGGAAGGGAGAATATAAAAGATTCAAAATAACTGTATGCAAGACTGAAGGCAGCCAATTATTCCATTAGTTATTGTATTGATATCACTCCAAATGAAATGTAAAGTGACATGCCTCTGGGGTTCTCAAACTTCTTCCCTCCTGTGATGCAAAACACACCTTTCTTCATGCTAGTGCCAGCTCCTAATTTTAAAGTTTTCTGTAGAAGAGGTGATACACCCCTCCTTTCCTGCTCCTCAAATAGCAGTTTTCATGGATGGGAGGACACTGTCTTACATTCTATCTTAATTAGCCTTGCAATATCAAAGCAACCACAGCCTTCAAATAAACACAAAGTATAGGGCAAGCCCTCAGGAAATCAACACAAGTTTTGTCAATTCATCACAGGGTAAAAGACAATGGGGTGAAGCAGTTTAAACAATTTAGAATATGAAATCTGAGCACATTCCATAGAATCAATCTTCATAACCAGAAGCTGACATTACAGGAATAAATGCAATGGAAGATGCCACAACAAAGCTTCACACTACCTCCTCAATAAAGATAAGAAGCCAGAGATTACCAGTGTAATTCTTGGATCACCTGGCAAATCAAAGAGTTGAGGCATTTCTAGTTTCCCACTGGAGGAAAGAATTTAATAATTTTTATATTTTTCTTTTGAAGAGAAAAGGAGATCTCTGAGGTATTTCCCATGTCCTCTATTTCAAACTGCTGAACTTTATAATGATTCTCTCAGTATTCCACCACATCAGTGACTCACTTTCGCCACCAGGAGAGGGGTTTTTCAAGCTCTTGCTCGTCAGATCCCATTGAAGCAATGAATGCAAAAGGCCAGGCCAGCAACATCATAAAAGCAGCAAAAAAGAGTCGAATAGGAAACAGAGTCAAGGTCATGAAGGCAATCTGCAAAATAAAAACAATAATAGAAAAACATTATTCCAACACAAGTCCAGACTGAAAAGGTCAGTGATTCCTAGAAACTGACACCACTTTTTAACTTTAAAATATCTAATGGTAGAAACAGCAGAATACCATTCAATTCCAGATATGCCAGATAAAGTTAAGGAAAAGCACACTTTTCAATATCACAATAGCTGGGCAAGGATGAGTAACAACACATAAGGTGCTGTCTCATGTTGTGCCTAATCTGATGCATCTTCAGGCTGCTGTGGAAAGATTAATTCATATTCTTCTCTTCCCTGATGCAGATCTAGTCATCATGCACTTCCCCTCACTTCCTAAAACAGCTCAACAACCAACTCACTCTGTAGGTGCACAAATCTGGAAATCTAAGGTAGGTGCAGGGAACACACAGCAGGAAAAAAGCCCAACACACCACTTTCAAGCCCTAAGCTACCAGCCCACTGCAGTTAGATTTTACAGTGCTGTTTCTGGTACCATGATCTTGTAACAGGCACAATCTTACTCTCCAGAACAGGATTCCAGTCCCTATGGAGACTCTGCTTTAGGTTGCAGAACTGACAGAAAAAGGATTTTTTTTTTCTTAGATAGACTAGTTTCCCAGATGAACCAGTAAAACTTCACACACTACAATGGTCAGATGAGCACTAAAATTACACCAACTCACACAACTCTCCATCCACAGACAAGACCACCACATCTGGCAGTAAATAGAGGAGCATTCTGGGGATGAGAACATCTGCCTTCTAAGTTTCTGAAATGAGAAGGACCAGCCACTAAGAAATGAGTGAAGCAAATGCAGGTGAGGACACAGACCTTTAGAATTCATACTTCCTCCCTCCCTCCCACCCACTCCTCCAAGTCTTCGCCTACTCAGGGCAAAGCTCAATGGCGGGTGACTGGAAGTGAGGTATTCCATCCCTTGACTCCTGCACCAAAGATAATTTTAGTGCCATGTCACAGAATCAAAACAGATGTTGCATTCATAAAGCCAAAAAAGATGGCATAAATGTGCAGAAAAGTCCTCTTGGTCTTCTAGAGACAGTGGGGATAGTAATGGCCAGCAAGAAGCAAATGCATCAAATGTACAGGGTCTGGCTGTGACACCAGCCTCTTTTTAGCAGGCAGTAGTTCAGCATCTGTTCGGAATTCTGTTTGGCAATAAGTAATATGCAAACACCTGTGTACTGAGATACATGTAAAAACCTCTAAAGGCCCATCCTGAGTTGTACTTTGAGGAGCTCAGCTCACGACCAAAGAAATCTCAAGAGAGGGTGGACTACAGTTTATTTACCATTTGCTGGTCTACAGTGCCCAACTTAGTTTTTCAGAAGTTGCAGTGTCTACTGTGAAAAACCTATGGACAGCATGGACCTATGGACCTAAGGCTGCCCTGGGAAACATTCTTCCATCAGAAGGGCTTAAATATGATGTAAGGCAAGTCACATAAACTAAATAGGTATCATATGTTCCCCTTGTTTAGAGAGACTTCATTCAGATTTAAGTATGACCTCACAATGAAGATATAAAATATGAACTCAAGTTTCAAGTTCTCCAAAATATCTGGTCCTACATATCCAAGTGCTGAGCAAAAGAATCACAGAGTACCCTTGTTTCTACTTCTTTAGGTCTGTTTCCTATCTTGAAAACCAGTATCATAGCTCTCATGCACAGAGAAGCTAAAAAAACTGCAACTTGGAAATTAACAATACCGTAAAAAACATCACTAAAACCAATTTATTTCCAACAAAATTTTCATGACTTGTTACAAAGTAGCAGTCACAATACTGAGAAAGGAAATTCTATTTGACATGGTAGAGGTTCTTTTACACATATCAGATAGAAATTACATCTTACCCCACACTTATATTTCCTCACTATTGTCACCCCTATAGCTCAACACACCAAAGATGGCAGTGCAGGAGCTAGGAATCAATCTCTCAACAATTCTCTCACTACCCACTTCTCCACTCTGCAATTTCCCCAGCAGACACATTCATGGAGATAAATACAGCAGGATAAATTTTCCTGTGCAGCTAAGCCAATCTAACAGATCACTGCTGTGAAAGAGTGGTCCTGTTCACTCTCTCCTCAATCCTCCCCCTGAGTCAGCTCTAGCACTTATGTGAGCTACCAATGAGCCAATATAGCTCATTAGTGAGAAAAAACACAGCCATCCCAGCAAAAGAAAATAATCAGAACACAAAACCACAATGATATGCTGGTTTAATGAGCCAAATGAGCTCACCAAGGCACCAAATGAACACCAGCACTGGTGAAATAAAAGGGGCAGAAACCTTGGAAGAAAGGAAAATGGCATTGTATTGTGTTTTGAAGCAGCAGGGAAAAAAGCTACAGATGCTTACTGACAGCTCCAGTAATGCTTCTGCCTGCTCTGCAGTGGTAACAAGAATCAAGAGCTTGGACTTACATGAGAGGTGCCCAGAAGATGTTAGCATGAACAAAATCCATCGTTAATAAAATCATGTATGTCTTTCTCACAGAAAGAATCTTTTTATTATAGTACCGAAATAAAAGAGGTAGCTTCAAGACCCCTACTGTCACCCTCAGATCACAGTAAAATAGCCATAATTTCTACTGATGAGCCTCTGTTCTGAAACAGTCTTACAGCTTTTACGCTCTTGTAATCTCCCAGTTTTTATAGTCAATGAAAGATGACTTGAACAGTTCCTTGATGGTCAAAAGGATTTCTTTGTAATGTTCTTTCTCCTCACGGTTGTTTTACCCTCTCACTTTCTACCTTTCTTTCACTCCCACTGTCTCGGGCTGGAACATGCTAAAAAGCATCTACTTCTGAGCTGCATTAATGAGTAAAAAAGCTAATCTAACCTCTTGCAGAGTGCAGGACGAGGTTGTAGGGAAGATAATGGAGCTATCTGGCAGACCATCAGCAACAGACACCAGACCATGAGACAAAGCAGTCTTGTCTCCCAGGGGCCAGGGCTCCCTACTTCTTGTAGCTACATTCCTAACCTTCCTCGATAGCCTGTGCAATCCCAGAAACCCCCATTAGATTCACAGGACAGACAGAAAAGCCTGTGACACAATACATGCCTACAGCTGAACAGGAAGTGAGTTCAGCTGCAAGAGTTCACACCAAGCCCTCTGTAGCTCTCCGAGGCTGCTGGGAGGAGAATGCACACTTCTGTAATTCACCTGGGGAGCATTTCTTCTCGAGTGGAGCAGTTCCACAGCTCTGCTTTAACAGCTCCTATCTCAAGCACAACTTTTAATCAGTGAAGGGGCTGGAAAAGCATGACTAAGGCAAAGAAAAAAACTACCACAGTTCTGTATGCCAGCTTATGGGCTTTTTCCTGCATAAAACTGCAACAGGAAGACTGAAGGGAGGTTGGGTTAAAGAACTCTGTGCTGCAGTGTATCAGTGAGAGACTTCTCGCTTAAAAAGCAAGTCTGAGACACAATCTGGTGAGGAGGCTGCTCCTTTGGCCTGTGCACTGTGACAAACTATAGCGGTTTAAACACATCTTCTCATCTTCACTGAAAATAACAAATCCTTGAAATCCATTGACAAAGTTCACATCTCATACCTACAAACAGGGCAGCCCACGCATAAAGCAGGTGTGTTCTACAACCAGTTACTTCCCTGACAAAGCATCTCAAGGTCTGTCAGGACTAACATCAGATCAGCAATGCTAGCAGCTCCTATGAGACTCAATACTGCAAAAAACTGCAAGACAAAGTCTGCTCTCTTCTCCCAGCAGCATTTAAATTTTTTTTTATAAATAACCAAGCAGAAAGCAACATTAGTTGCTATAACTGGAGACAATCCTAGTCCCTGTGAATATGTGCTATCTTTGCTTCTCTCTGAAAGACTTCTACCTCATTAACTGAGGTATTAACCATGACTTCAGGAACAAAATACGGTACATGGAAAGGAAATCTTTACAACAATAAAATTTATTGAGGAAGCTCTAGATAGAAACTAAATGAAGTAGATGACACAAACCTTTTTCTCCCTTTTCCAGCTCAAGCAACAATTTATGAGCAACCACTAAATACATACTGGGCAACTTAATAAAAAGTGAAAACCTTTTCTTCTGAGTGTACTTTAAATTCCTGGGCTGCCCGATAGTTAACATGAGGCACATTCTGATGTTTTTTTAAGTCAGGCCATACATATCTTGTGTTAAGCATCTGGGCAGCAACAGGGCAGTGCAACCACGAACTTCATTCAAATGCAAATCAAAGCTGGATCTAAAGCGCCTTGATCCAAGAGGTTTAATATTAGTTAATCATAATTTCCAATGTTAACAGGTACAGAAGGCTGTCAGGCACTCAAAACAACAGCTTTATGAAGTATTACAGCGATGGAAGCAGCATAGATGGCCAGCCCCTGACTAGCTGCGCCTCTGACGGTATTTCTTCTTCCAGCTAGTGACCCAGATCTTACCGAAAGCCTAAGACAAGGGCCATGCCCTCTGAATAGTCAGCCGCTTACTGCTCACCGTGCGAGGAGGCAGAGGCAAGAAGAGGGGGGAAAAAAACCCCTCTAAAACCAAACAATAAAATAAAAAGCTAAGCAACTGCAAATTTGCATTTTAATACCACCTCCTGTAGTCTCACCGCTACCTGCACAATACCATACCTAAATTACGCCGCAGGGACTATTTACCCAGGGGCAAAACTTCAGCCGCAGCGGGATGTCTCGGCCCAGGGTAATACCTACTTCAACTTGATGCTGAAAAAGAGCGGCTCCGCAGGGCTACTCACCCGTCCCCCATCAAAAAGAAACCACAAAACAACAAAACACACCACAACATAAGAAAACCCCGAAAACCAGAAAATCCGAAAAAACTCCCAAACCTCAAAGTGCTAAGAAAACCCATAAAGGAAGCCCCAATAAACAAACAAAAAATACAAAAAAAATTAAAAAAAAATTTTTTTCCCTTTGAAGAAGGCATCGGAGCACAAGTTGCGGCGCACTCCCCGCACTACAGCATCACGACCGCCCCCAGACTCCCGCCCGCCCGGCCCGGGCACGGCCGCCCCCGGCAGCCGCCTCGCACACGCCCAGCACCGCTGCCCGCTCCGCCGGCTCACAAAGCACCGGCGGCGCGGAGCCCCCGCCCGCCGCAGGACGCGGCCCGGCGGCCGGTGCGCCGCGGGGGACGCGCGGAACGAGGCGGCGGCGAGGGAGGGCGGCACGGCGGCCGCACGCCCCTACCTTGGCTTTCTGCAGGGGGCTGAAGCGCAGCTGGTGCACGAAGGGGCTCCGCGGCGGCGGGCCGCGCTCCCGGCTGCCGCCCGTGCAGCATCCCCGGCCGCGGCTGCTCAACTTCATGGCGGGGCAGGACAGCGGGAGGAGGCGGCGCGGGAGAGGGCGCGGGCTCGGCGCGGCGGCCGCCGGTCCCGGGTAGCGGCGGCGGCGGGCGGGAGCGCGGAGTGCGGGCGGCACCGGCGGCCGGAGCGCTCCCCGCTGAACGCCGGCCCCCGCCCTCCCGGCCGCCCGCGCATGCGCCCTGCGCGCCGGCTACAGCGGCTCGCTGCGCGCCGGTTTCCGCGTCGGGTGGGAATGGGAAGCGCCTGGGAATGGGAAACGGCGGCGGCGGGGTGGGCGCGCACCCTCCTTCCCTCCGCCCGCTGCCCGCCCGCGGAGCGTCCCCTCGGGCATGCCGGGAGCGCGGCCCCGCCCGGCGGCGTGAGGGGCGCCGCCCGAGCCTGGGGCCGCGCCGGTGCCGCGTCCCCCGCGGCAGGAGGGGCAGCGTGGCGGGGCGGCCGCGGGGACCTGCCGCCGCCGCCACCTCGGTCAGACCCCCGAACCGGGATTCCGCTGGGCGTAGCGCGGCGGAGGGGAATTCAGAGGAAAAGGGGAACGAGGTGGTGCTGGATGAGCATCGCCGCCGTACCTGGGAGAAGCCAGGTGTTGTGCTGGTATCAGGTGGCTGGAATTGGTGAGGTCCGTGGGGAAAACTCTGTTCCAAGCAAACCTAGACAGTTTTTAATGAAGTCTGGATAATTTGCACCCTGGGATCTTGACAGAGTTGGCTGAGGAAGTAGCTAAGTTTGGTGTTTAATAAATCTTTAAATGAGAAGTAAGTTATTAAGAAATAAAGAAAATTTTCATTTTCAAAAGGCCAAGCTGGATGTCCTGTACTGTTCTTTACTGTTTTAACATAAACCAGAGGCAAAACAGTAGAAAAAGAAATAAAAGAGGTTTGATAAAGAAATAAGTCCTTAATGTCAATCACCTCGACTTATCAAACAATTCTGATAGCCTTATTCAGTAACACAGGTAAATTGATACAAGTAACTGCAGAAACATGGTCGGTTCTGTTTTTAATCTAGTAGGCTTAGAACTGCAAAATGGTCTCTGAGCCCTTTGGTTAATACCATATGTACTTCTAATGGCTAATGCTGTTGAATGGTCAATGTGTTAAATAGAAAAATAGTTTTGAACTTCTGAAAGATCAGAAGAGTTTTCAGAGGCTAGTCTTCATGGTTTTGGGGTGTGCCAGTTTCTGCAGGCTCAGCATTTTCAAGATTTTGAACAGAGACCCAAAATAAACTCACTGTTAATAAAATCTATGGATGGATTTGCTAAATGGTAACTTAGTAAACTACTGTGAGAGTAACTGCAGTGTCATCTGGACTGCTTAATAAAGTTAACACTTTCAAACAGCCAAATGTGCAGGCCAAATTTACTGACAAAAATTCCCATGCCTCTGGAATGGGAGCTTATGTCTTAGAAGAAGTCTAAAATTCATGTCAAGGAAACTGTGATGGGTAAGGTACAATGTGTCCAGTCTGACTGTTGGATGTACTGCCAGCATTACAGTGTGTACTAACGGGAACTGATGGTAGAACAAGGTGTGTGGCTCTTGACATTAAAGATCAAGTGGTGCAGGAAAGACCTCCCAGAACATTATAGTACTGGAGAAAGTCTCTTATAATGATACGTTCTGAACCCATTATCAATTTGTCAAAAAGATCTGCAAGATTTTCTGTGCTAAAGCTTTTTTAAATGGTAGAGGAGAAAAAAAAAAAAATCAGTGGTCAGGAGCTGATACAATGTAATGCAAATGTAGTGGTTTTAATCCTTTAGCTCAGTTTAGGATTGGTAGTAATACTTACTGGTCTGTGGTCAGAGTATGTGATCCAATGATCCCTTTTAACCTTAAACTCTCTGAAGTATTTTAGCTGCATTCCAAACAATTTGGCTGCCCTCACCTTTTTTCCCTCTCCAGTGACTTCAAGCCAGTTGCTGGCTCAGCCATACGGGGCTGATTTCAGTAATGAACAACAGATTTTTTGCAGAATGAAGGAGAGACTCTCTCTAACAGGGCCCACATGCCGCGTAGCCAGGGAGTTCATTGCAGCTTCCCTCAGGGTTCTTCCAGGCTCTTCAGCCAGTGAAAGCTGTCCTGCAGGTCAGCAAGGTGGAGGTGGTGGCCACTGGCTACCCAGCACATGGCCCATCAGAGTGCTCCAGCACACGCCCTCCTTCCCCACCTGCTAGGTGTAGGACACAAGGTACAATGAGGGTATTGGAATGGGTTCAGCTTTGAGATGTAATCAAGCTTCTTTATTTCTGCTGGTTGTGTTTTATTTGTTTTCTAAAGCCAGCTTCCAAAAATAATTTATTATTCACACCAGAGCTTTTGGTATTTTTAATGTCTTCCTCAGTTATAAAACCTAATGAAGTATTAGGCACCTGCCTGGCCCTTTGGCTCTTAAACCTTTGCTTTTGGAGTACTTGTTCTGTATTACTGAGTGAATGAGCAGTATTCTAACTTTTTATTGCTGCTTTCGTGGGTTTAGTCAATTATTTTCTAATTAGCACATTAACACCTGACAGTTTCCAGGAAACTTTGTAGTTTTATAGAACTCATCTGTTCAGTAGGGATAATATAGCCTCTAAAGCAAGCTAGGAGATGGTTATCAAATTGCAATTCATGGAATATGTACATACATGAACTACTAGGATGTTAAGGGGTGCTTTCCTAGTTTCTGGTTCTCATTTGTTTTCTTCAAAATTCTGCTGTGATCAGTATAAAGGAAGACAGATAACTTTAAAAATGTACAACCTAGCAGTCTTAAGCTTGCAGGAATGTGTTTCCCTATCTCCGTAGTCCCTTTAATCTGAAATTGTAAAAAGATGAATGTAAGCCCTGTTTCTTGTGTAATAAAATTTGCTCAGTGAAGGAACTGAGCATGAGCCCCGGAACGGGGCAATCCCATGGCAGGACTTGAATGGAAAAGGCAGGCTAGGAATCTGGAAGCAAACCAGTTTGGCATGTGATAAAGAGAGGAGTGAAGGAACCAGCCTACGTGGCAGGGCAGAGTCAGCCACACACGACAGTACTGCTTCTTTGTAGTGAACTGGAAAATTTATTTGAATCCTTCCAGAGACACATGATAAAAACTTGCTCCTGGAATTTTATTATATAGCCCTGGGAAGACAGGGTTAAGACACTGCAAGCATGCACAAAAAAAGGACAGTATTTTATACTTGTAATACACAGAACCATAGAATTTAAAAAGACATGGATCATTTTTGTGAATTAATTTGGTACTTGAATAAAGTATGTCTGTAGTTTGGGGTTTGAATGCTGCTTTTCTGTGCAAATCACTAGAGGCATAACTGTGATCTTGCTTTCAAGGCTGGCATGTGCTACATAACTCAACTAAGACTTATAAGAACATAAGGAGAGGTGATGAATTTATTGCAGGATTTATGGAATCTACCTTGCAGCACAAGAGGTATGATACATTATGTTGGATGTAAGTGTATTGTGATGCAATTGGAAAAGGAAATGTTGAAGCTGACTATCGTGAGAACAAATTGCAGTAAGCTCTCAAATAATCTCCTCAGGGAAACTGTGGAACCTGAAACCATTAAAATGAGACTGTACAACCATCTAAGAGCCATTCTACCCTGAAAAAGCTCTAATTGGTCCTTTCTGTCATTCATTTATATGATTTATAAAGAGCTGTATAAATAAGAGGACTCATGCATAAAAAGCATACAAATATTATGAAATCTTCTTCTGTGAACCTTAAAGTAGGAAAAGGAGTATTCAATATTTAATAGCTAAACTGAAGTGGTTCTCTCAAAAATAAATCAAAGAAGTGTTCACAAAAAGCAAATATATTGACCACAGCCTTGAACTTTATTTCAAATTTTTTTAAACAAATTATTGCCTAGGCAAAGCCCTTGCTTTGATTTTTATGTTGGTCGTTGACCTTGATGGCCATTTGGTAGAATCAGCTGATACCTATTCAAGCATGAGTCTGGTACACTTCTACCCTTAAAACAATTTTTCTACAGTTGATTTCACATGTTCTGTAGGGGTGTTTTTCTTTCTCTTTCTTATTTTTGCCTTATGGCTTTCATAAATCTATTTTACATTTAAACTAGGAAAGGTTTTAAAAATATTTGATAAAAAAAGTATTTTGTGAAGGGAAAAATTCATGTTGAATTACTAGTAGTAGTACAAATTTTTTCAAAGAAAATGCATGAACATTTTTCTTCTGATTTGTCAAGAAACGCAGAATCCATCTGACTTTTTTGAATCAGAAAATGAATTGCTGGAGTTATTGGCAGGTCTATGGGAAGAAGAGCAGTTTCTTGCTTTGATAGTTAAAAAAGAGAAAGAGATGTCCCTCCTTCAGAAATTATTAGGAAACATGGCATAACATAATTCAGAATTTTCACGAAATAATTGTTCTCTTAATACCTATGTTTTACCTCAGGATTCACAGTATTATAGTTCACATGTGACCTTGGCTTCAGCATCACAAAGAAACTCTTTAGATCCTCCCAATGATGGCCTCTCAGTAGTGGGGCAGGAGCAGATGTTTTAGGTGTCACAGACTCTGCCAGGTGCCGAGTTCTCCACACTTAGTGCACAAACCCTGCCCCTGCACACTACTGGAAATACCCAGCCTTATGAGAGTGAGTGAATTTAAGGAGCAGTGTGTGCTGATTACATCCTTTCCCCTTTGAGAAAAAGAAATCTTGGTCAGCAGGAGCCTTGCTCGCCTCATTCAAAGGCTGATTTAAGACAGTGGAACAAATTGCTGTGCAATTTGAGATCTGCCTCATACTTGATCAACTGATCGATAGCATCCCAGTTTGTCCCATGTATTTGATTTATCTCTTATTTTTCTTAAACTGAAACACATAAAAAGGAATCTATACCAGTTCTGATAATATCTCAGAGACATTTAAAAATATTTGATTCTTAGGAGTGGTTTAGATCTAGACTGAACTTCTCTCATTTCCTATTTGGAACACCACATCCTTGTAAATAGCCTCACACAAGGTGTAGGAAGTTGAAAACAGAGCCCAGATAAATGGAACTAAGTACAAAATAAAGTAGCAAATATTTTCAGTGCTTCACTATGATTGTAGCCCTCTATATATATATATGTTCATTTCTAGGTTCGTATACCTTCTCCCTCTTCTCTCTCTGAACATCTTGGCTAAAAATATTTTATGT